TTTTCCTATTTTCCGCATTTATTTGGTTACTTGTCGTTGGCTTTCGCAGAGATCCGGTTCCTCTGGGAAATTAGGGTTTTCCTAAGTTTCCTTATTTAACGGAAATCGACAAGTGTGAATCCCGGTTCCCACAGATGGTAAGAACCCTTGGGGGGAAGTCAGCGTCTCTCGGGCGAGCTAGGCGCTTGGTTCAGCTCGCCGTATGGCGATCTAGCTAGCTCTATGTTCGGCGAGCTAAGATGCTTGGCGCGGGTGATCTTGATTCGTCGAGTTGACTTGTTTTCGTCGTAGAATCGCAACGGAAAGTCTGATTGAGACGAAACGAAAAGCGACTCGATCAAGATTCGACATGGAGATGTTACGATCCGTCGAGCTTGTCCAACTTGCCTAATGGTGAGTCTGCGAGCACAGTCCCGATTCATCAAGCTATCTTGTTTTCGTTGTAAAATCTCAACGGAAACTTTGATTGAGATGAAACGAAAATCAGTGCGATTGTTGTTTAGAGTACGATCAAGTTCATCACAGCTATAATTCGGACTGTGCGGACCCTCGGGGAAAAGTCAGTGCCTCTAGGACGAGGTGGAAAGCCAGTCAGCTTCGCCAAGATGGCAAGCTAGGTTGCTCGGCCAACTCACCGTCTTTTTCGCTGGATAGTATTGCCCGATTCTGCGAGTAGCCTAAGGTTCTTCCGCGAGCAACCTAGGGTTTTGTCGCGAATAACCTAGGGTTTTTCCGCGAGTACCCTAGGGCTTTCTCTGCGAGTAACCTAGGGCTTTCTCCGTAAGTAACCTTGGGTTTTTCCGCGAACAACCTAGGATTTTGCCGCGAATGACCTACGGTTTTCCGCGAGTGTCCTAGGATTTATTTCGCGAGTAAGTTACGGTTTGTTCCGCGGTTTCTGGGAGAGCAAGTTTTATTTTTCCGAAAAGTTCTCGGAAAACGTCTTTTGCTCAACCCGCGAGATTTGTCCAACTCAGAAATAAGAAAAACACTATGGGGTTTGATAGATTTTATCGTTGCCCTTAGTGATCTGAGATAGAAATCGTGAGCTTGTTTTGTTGCTCTTCCCGTGGCGAAGAGTCGCGATTAGGTTTTCGATTTTGTTGAGTACTACAGCGTTTGCGTGAGCGTTGGCCGTACGAGTAGTCGCTGTTGGAGTTGTTTTACCAGCGTCTTTTTGCGAGTTGCGACTTTGTCTTTCATGCATCCAGACATCGTTTTGGTCTAGCGTTTTGCGGCTATGAGTAAGAGTAATCCGACCCCCCCCCCTCCTTCTAGCGCCAAACTGTGGGAACCGAGATTCACACTTGTCGATTTCCGTTAAATAAGGAAACTTAGGAAAACCCTAATTTTCCAGAGGAACCGGATCTCTGCGAAAGCCAATGATAAGTAACAAAACAAATGCGGAAAAATATGAAAAACACAATAAAACGAATTTATAAAGAAAGTCGATCTTATTTCCCATTCGCGTAAGAGCGTTGCGATCATTACAAGGAATTCCAAAGGCTTTGGCCGCAGGGGCCATCAGCGAGTTACAAACATAAAACCCTAGATCTAATCGAGTCGCAGCTCAATAACGAAAGATGGAAAAAGATAGGAAAAAAGGTTTGATTGATTTCGGACTGAACCTTATGAAAGGCTGCCTACGTACCACTTTCGGGGATCAAGTCGAATGTAGTTCAGTTGATAGAGCTGTACCAGAGATCGAACTGCCTGGGCGAGTTCGTCTAGTAATTGAGCGCCAGTCATAGAAACCGAACTTGTCGAGAAAAAGCCTAAGTTTCTAAGTGCGGAAAATTCTAAGTTTAGAAAAGTTTTAAAAGTCTCAGATGAGAGCTCTGAAATTCGTCCCCCTCTTATGCCCTACGCCTCTGGTTTATATACTCCTTGCCTTGACGGTTCGGTCTTTCCATTTTGCCGGATTTGAGTATTTCGGGAATCTTCCATTTTTCTCGATCCTTCCTTTTCTTCCGCGGAAATCTTCTATTTATCTTTAAACTTGCCTCTTATTTTTCCTTCTGCGAATAAACCGTCAAAACGTTATCGAATCTTCGGGTTAGATTCCGTTAAGATCGCGAGATGGGTTTTTATCGCGTTTTAGGTCCTTCTGGACCGTTTTGCGATAAATCCGTTTTCCGACTTTTACGGGATCGTTTCCTGATCTGACATCGTTTTTTTTTTAATAAATTCCTCGAGTTAATTGTAAGCTTTTACGATTTACTCGAATTTTTTATTAATAATATGTTTTTTACAATTTACTCGACGTGTTTCATAAAAAACGCGTTTTTATGATTTCAACGAGAAATCTCGAATAAATCGTATAGTTTAGGCAATGTTCGGTGTTTCGTTTAACCGTTGCCGTTTTATACAATTTCTTCGAGTTCTTTATCGAGAGAGCGAAGTTTTGCGGTTTTTATCGTAAAACTCGAACGATAAGTCGGATCGAGATGGAACGGGAGATGTTTCGGTCGTGGTTCAGAACGTGACCGTGTCGTAAGTTTCGAGTCGGGAATGCGGGAGATCGAGGCGTGGGATATCCGGGAAATTTCTAGTTCGCCTATTGGCGAACTAAGCCGGCCCGGCTTAGTTCGACAATAAGCGAACTAGTCGAGTGCCTCTTAGTTCGCCTATTGGCGAACTAAGCTGGGCTAGCTTAGTTCGCCAATAGGCGAACTAGTCGGGTGCCTTTTAGTTCGCAAATAGGCGAACTAGTCGAGTGCCTCTTAGTTCGCCTATTGGCGAACTAAGCTGGGCAAGCTTAGTTCGCCAATAGGCGAACTAGTCGAGTGCCTCTTAGTTCGCCCATCGGCGAACTAAGCTGGCCCGGCTTAGTTCGCCGATGGGCGAACTAGTCCCGTCCCGGCTAGATCGCCATTGGGCGAACTAAGAGGTGCTGACTTTGCCCCACTGGTTCTTTTCGCCTAGTTCGCCATATGGCGACCTAGCCAAGCTGATCTAGCTCGCCGTACGTCGAGCCGACCATCCCGAGCCTCGATCTCCCACATCCTTGATTCAAGGCATACGTCCTTCGTCACGATCGTATTCTGAATCACGGTCGAAATGTCTCCCATTTCGTCTCGATCCGTCCTATCGTTCGAGTTTTACGATAAAAACCGTAAAACTCCGTTTTCCCGAAAAGAACTCGAAGAAATCGTATAAAACGGTAACGGTTAATCAAAACACCGAACGTCGCCTAAACTATACGATTTATCCGAGATTCTTCGTTAAGATTATAAAAAAAACGCGTTTTTAATAAAAACGTCGAGAGAATCGTAAAAAATGGCACGGATCAGGAAACGGTCTCGTTAAAGTCGTATAACGGTTTTTAGCGTAAAACGGCCCGAAAGGTCCTAAAACACGATAAAAACCCATCTCGCGACGTTAACGAAATCAAACCCGAAGATACGATAACGCTTTGACGGTCTACTCGCAGACGAAGGTAAAAGGCAAGTTTGAAGATAAATAGAAGATTTCCACAGAAGAAAAGGAAGGATCGACATATATTGAAAGTTCCCAAAATATTTGGTTTCGAGCAAAATGGGAAGACTAAAACCGCCTAAGGAGGAGTATATAAGGAGGAGGCATAGGGCAGAAGCTGAGGGACGAAATCCAGAGCTATCATCTGAGACTTTCACAACTTTTCTAGACTTAGAATTTTCCGCACTTAGAAACTTAGGCTTTTTCTCGACAAGTTCGGTTTCTATGACTGGCGCTCAATCACTAGACGAACTCGCCCAGGCAGTTCGATCTCTTGTCCAGCTCAATCAACTGAACTACGTTTGACTTGATCCCCGAAAGGGGTACGTAGGCAGCCTTTCATAAGGTTCAGTCCGAAATCAATCAAACCTTTTTTCCTATCTTTTTCCGTATTTCGTTATCGAGCTGCGACTCGACTAGTCGAGTGCCTCATAGTTCGCCTATTGGCGAACTAAGCTGGGCTAGCTTAGTTCGCCAATAGGCGAACTAGTCGGGTGCCTCTTAGTTCGCCAATAGGCGAACTAGTCGAGTGCCTCTTAGTTCGCCCATTGGCGAACTAAGCCGGTTTGGCTTAGTTCTCCCATGGGCGAACTTGTCATGACTAGTTCGCGTTTTACGGCTATTTCGGTTTTTTGCGGTTTCGTAAAATGATTCTTCGAGTTTTATAAAACGATTCTTCTAGTTTTATAAAACGATTCTTTGAGTTTTATAAAACGATTCTTCGAGTTTTATAAAACGATTCTCGAGTTTTATAAAACGATTCTTCGAATTTTATAAAACGATTATCAATTTTTATAAAACGATTCTTCGAGTTTTATAAAACGATTCTTGAGTTTTATAAAATGACTCTTGAGTTTTATAAAACGACTCTTCGTTTTAATAAAGACTTTTGCGGAATGTAATGATTCCAGAAGTTATCGTAGACGTTGATTCCGAGATTACGGTTTTTGACACCAACAACGATTCTCGAGTTTTATAAAACGATTCTTCGGGTTTTACAAAACGATTCCTTTTATATTTCTGTGGGGAGTTTTGGCCGTTGATTCCGTCGTACCGATTTTGACCCCAACACCGTTTAATGATGACACGCTGGTTTGCAACAAGAAAACATGACGCTGAGTTGATGAAAACCTTTCTTACTCGTGGTGTAGAGAAGGTGTTGGAGGTAATTTATTTTGTTATGTCGTGTAATATTATAGACTATTTGTATACTAAGCTTTAAATTTTGCAGGGCCGGATACCTATGCCTAAAGATGATGCCGTTCCAATTCCAGAAGAGCTTGCCAAAAGGATATGTTTACCACCAGAGGTCTGCCAACCACCGGGAAGACCAAAAAAAAATCAAGACATAAATCCATTTTGGAGAAAATTGCAATTAAGAAGCGGCCATGGAAGGAACACTCATGCCGAATTTGTAACCAGAGTGGTCATAAAGCCATTCTAGCATCGATCTGAGCTTGTACAGAAGCTTCCAATGTCTTAATAACCCTTTCAGCTACACTAACATCTTTCTACTCTTCCAGTCAAGTTGTTAACAGCCTCAAGCAACTTTTGTGTGGGCATATCATTATGCCATTCTTCTGACAAAACTCACAAACCAAAACAGTTTAGATAGTAACAAAATCAAAAAAATATTCAATAACATGTAAGTACATACCATTTCTGGAGCAGTTTCTTTCTCCTTCTTTCGTTTTGTGAAGGGGCTCTCATCCACTCTATCGGGGACACTAGGTGCACGAACATGAATTTTTCTCTTGTGGCACTTGGTAAGTGGCACTACATCCCAAAACTTGTCGTTTAGCTGATCACTAAGGATTTCAACTATCATGTTATCTAAATCATTAGGCGGTTTACAATCATATGTCTTACACGAATCTTCATTGTAAAGTACAACAATAATTAAGTGGAATAAATAAGACAGTGAATTACAAAGAAAATGATATACCTTCTGATATTTTTTCTTTTCTTGTGCACAGAAGTTTGGGAAGTTGATACGCTGACGAGAAATTGGAACGTTCATCTCCTCCCAAAAATCTTCATGAGACACATCCCACTGTTCTTGTGTGTCAAAGGGATCACAATTTAGCCCTGTAATATCTGCAAACTCATACAGAGATATCCTCAGTGACTGGTCTTCTATCAAAGACCAAATTTAATGACTGCTCTGAATCGCCAACTGATTCACTAGAAAACCATGAACATGTTTTGCAGACCAAGTAAAATCCAACTCCTTCAGCTTGAGAATCACGCCTACAGCTGAGTCTCTCAACTCAGGCCAAACGTCTGTGCCGATATTCTCTTGCACCGTTTGAATGTTTGCGAGAAAACAACTGTGGTTCATGCTCCTTTGTTGAATAGGCGTTTTACCAATCTGACAAAGCCGCGGAGGATACTTCCTGTTACCCGATGCCATTCCTTAGAAAAAAAAAGGAAACAAAAAGTTAATAAATATCATTTATCAGATTATAACAAATAAATTAGAATTCACCATCACAAATGGAGCAATAATAATCATACAACATAATAAAAAGCAATAAAAAGTGTCCTTTTTGTGATATTGAGAAACATAAATCATGAAGTAACAAAGTGTGAGACTTCTTCTATTTCACATTAATCATGTTGATTATTTAACTGCTAAGGGAATTGAGGATTTAGGGTTTTCTATCAAGCAATCAGAAATGTTTATCTACATTAAAAAAGACCAATTGAATTTCAATTTGGGATCAATCCATGTATGATAACAACAACTTCAAGTAAGAAAAAATTAAAATAAAAAACCGAACCAGTTTCTCAGTTTGTCGGAAATGAAATTGGGAATTAGGGTTATCCAAATTTAACATGCAATCAAAGAAAATCAGTTACGAACAAGGATGCAGACATCTCTTTCACCTCGACAAGAATATATTTAGCACTTATCGTCGAGATTTTTTTCGAGATTGAGGCGTCTGTGACTCACATCATCGGAGCTAGGGTACAGAGTTCTGAGACTGACAGGGACGACGCCGACGTAGGAAGGAGGTAACGAAATGTGCGGCGGCTGCGAGTGAGACGATTTTTTTGGAGATGGAGGTTTGATGTGTGGAGAAGGAGATTTGAGATTGGGAAGGTGAGAAGTCCCAACAAAGCCTTTTGTTTTTTTTTTTTTGAGAATATTAAACAATTTCTTTAAATTAATCAATGGCAATTTTGTTAACTCTAAGAGAAAAGCTGGTTTTCTGGTACTTTTGTTACCCACATGATCTATTAGAGTAATTAAGAAACTTTATGAATTAGTATAGTAATTACATGTAAAATGTGAATCATTATAGGTAATTTCTCTCTTGTTTATTGGTTTATTTACTGCTTGCATTATTTCCTGCTTTATAATTTAGTTACTGTTATACTATTATTCACCTAGATTATTCATAACTGTTAGATTTAATTGGTTCCCTAGCTCCTCGTGATTTGATCCCTAAATACTACAACTGAATTAACCTCTTATTTGAGAGAGGAATTCACTCCTAAGGGTAATTTGAGTGATATCAGGATTCGATCCCTAAGTACTACAACTGAACCTCTTATTTGAGAGAGTAAGTATCCTTAGGGTAATTTGAGTGATATCAAATTTGGCGCCGTTGACGGGGAGCTTTCATCGCGATTAGATTTAGTCCAAAAATTCTAGATTACTTTTCTTTAAACCCCCTTTCTTATACAAATTTTGTTCTTGACTTTTCAGGTGTATGCCCATCAATACCAAAAGCAACAAGGAAAAACAACTGCTATTCTCTGAAGATCCTGCAAGCTTGGAACGTTCAATCCACAAACACATATGTTCCAATACTCGCCAACCACTGTCAATTGATTCCGATTTTAAATCGATCGACATCATCACTTCTTCGTCGACCAATTTTCCTCATCCGACATTGATCGATTACATACCTCATACATCAATCGATACTTAGCCACGAGACATGGTTTCGATTATGATTCTTCAACCGGATGAGAATGGAGACCGGCCGTGATTGACCAGCTCGCCGGTTGGCAAGCTGAAATGACCCGTCCAGCTCGCCAATAGGCGATCTGGTCGTGCTTGACCAGCTCGCCTGTTGGCAACCTGAACTGACCCGTCCAGCTCGCCGCCAGATCGCATGTTGGCAAGCTGAACTGACCTGTCCAGCTCGCCAAACAGCGAGCTGGCTGTACTTGACCAGTTCGTCGTCTTGTCAATCGGAACCAAATTGTCCATGCCCCTTGACTCAATTGTACTCTGAAAAGTGATAGGAACATCTCTTGTTTCGTCTCGATCCGTCATACTGATGGAGTTTTACGATAAAAACCACAAAAGGCTTGTTTTCTCGTGAAACCTCGAGTAAATCGTATTAAACGGCAAGGGTTAAACGAAACACCGGGAACTGCCAAACTATATCATTGACTCAAGATATTTTATGAAAACGGCATTGTATCATGGAATGATCTCGTAAGAAATCGTAAAACGGCTAAATCGCATAACGGGTCGAAAAGTCCTAAAACGCGATAAAGGCCCACTCACAACTTTAGACAAGATCCAGCCCAAAGATATGATGATGGTTTACTCATTATTCGCAGGAATGGGTAAATGTTAAGTTTAAAGACAAAATAGTAATTTTCCAAAGAAAAATGGAAAGATCGAGATAAATGAAAGATTTCCGAAGAGCGCGAATCGCGGCGGAAAAAGAAAGACCAACCGTCTAGAGAAGAAGTATATAAGCATAAGGTCGAAGTCAAGAGGAGGCAGAACTTTACGACATTTTTGCACTTAGAAACTTAGGCTTTATTCTCGACAATCAAAACATTTCGCTTATCTTTTTCGTATTTTGTTATCGAGCTGCGACTCAACTAGGTTTAGGGTTTTATGTTGCTAGAACTAGGTAACTCGATGACGGCCCCTGCGGCCAAAACCTTTATAATCTCTTGTAATGATTGCAACGCTCTTACGAAAATTCGAAAATAATATCTACTTTCTTTATAAATTTGTTTTATCATGTTTTTCATATTTTACGCATTTATTTGGTTACTTCTTGTTGGCTCTCGCGGAGATCCGGGTTCCCTGGAAAATTAGGGTTTTCCTAAGTTTCCTTATTTTACGTAAAATCGACAATGCGAATTTTGGTTCCCACAGTTTGGCGCTAGAAGAAGGGGGTTACGGATTACTTTAACTCATAGCCACAAAACTCTTGATCAAAACGATGTCTGGATATATGAAAGACAAAGTCGCCGCTCGCAAAAACGCTTGTATAACAACTCCAGCAGCGACTACTCCTATAGCCAACGCTACTGCAAACGCTGTAGTACTTAACAAAATAGAAAACCTAATCGCGACTTTTCGCAACGGGAGGAGCATAAAAACAAGCTCACGATTTCTCCCTCTGAACACAAAGGGCAACGATCAAAATCTATCGAACCCCGTAATGATTTTCTTATTTCCGAGTTGGACAAATCTCATTTCGTATGGGTTGACCAAGAGAAGTTTTCCGAGAACTTTTCGGAAAAATAAAACTTTCTCTCCTAGAAACCATGGAAAACCCTAGGTTACTCGCGGAAAAACCCTACGTTACTCGCGGAAAAAGCTTAGGTTACTCGCGGAAAAAACCTTAGGTTACTCGCGGAAAACCCTAGGTTACTCGTGGAAAACCCTAGGTTACTCACGGAAAATACCCTAGGGTACTCGCAGAGTTGACTGTACCGTCCGGCTCGCCAATACGGCGAGTTGGGCGATACTACCGAGCTCGCCAAGACGGCGAGTTGGCCAAGCCATCTTACTCGCCACTTTGGCAAGCTGGTCAACCTTTTTCCTCGCCCTCAAAGCACTGACTTTGCCCCGAGGGTCCGCACCATCCAACTCGCCACCATGGCGAGTTGCATCCAACTCGCCACCATGGCGAGTTGACAAAGCCTGATCGTACTCCAAACAATAATCACACTGCTTTTCGTTTCGTCTCAATCGGAGGTTCCATTGAGATTTTACGACGAAAACAAGTCGGCTCGACGAATCAGGATTGTACTCACCGAATCGCTAGTGGGCGAATTGGACAAGCTCGACGGATCAAAACGTTTCTATCAAATCTCAATTGAAACGCTTTTCGTTTCGTCCCAATCGGAGTAACCGTTGGAACTTTACAATAAATAAAAAACACAAAGACTTGCTTTCTCGTAGAAGCTCGAATCGATCGTCTAAAACGGCAACGGTTGACTCAACACCCAAGTTGCCAAAACTACAAGAGAGATTTGAACTCTCTAAACGCAATCCGGTTTTACGAAACTCTGCCACATTAAGTCAAAAACATATAATCATAAACGTGTGATAAATTTTCAGCAATATACAAAGCACACCTAGTTAGTTAAGTAAAACCACCAGTACGAAGCAACAAGAACATAAACTCCGATGTTGAAATCCCTTCCTCACTCTGATATACTTGTTGGTATTTCATCAAAAACTGACTCATACGAAAATAAGTCAAAAGACGAAGAACGAAGAAGAGGAAATCCCAAATCATCAATGAAACTAAGGTATGTCTGATTTGAAAATTTTATTAGACATGTAATTTCTCCTAGGAAAGAAATGAAAACATCTTGTAAACTGCCGTAAAACTTAGGGAACTTAGAATTTAAGGGGATAGTCTAGCATGCTAAGTCGTAGGCAACTTTTGTCTATCTCCATCTATTTTTCTCTAACTGTTCATGCATAACTCAGAAACCGATCGAACCTCTCGTACAACCGAGAAACGGTTGCCACGCACTCGAGCGTACTCATCTAATTTCCTAAAAGAAAGAAGGAACTAGAGACACTGACGTCGTCTTAAAACCGACTAGTTCCTTGAAATTGTCGTAAAACAGACGTACTCCAAGTCATCACCAATCCACCATGGTCTTTACGCGACCCAGATTGTCGATCATCCCAGTCCTTCAAAAGAAATTCATCTTTTTTCTTTCATCTTAAAAAAATAGAAGGAGGGAGTAGGTGCATATACTATACTCGTATACTCCCATAATTCAAAAAACTTTTTTCCTCGTAAAAAGGAAACGCTTTCTATAAAGCAAACTCTCGCAAAAATAGGCGGAAAAATATTTGGATAGTGCGATGCCTCATCAAAATCATCCCAAAAGCAGACGATAATCTAAAATTCTTCTAAACGCTAAGAACTGATCCCAACCATCTGGGAAATAATCTCGAGGACTATACAACATCTCTCATCGCAATCGTGCGTTTAGAAAATCTCTGCCAAACCTCAGAGTGAAACTCGATGATTTGCCGAAGTCATAAAGATCTCTTCCAACTTGATAAAACAAGTTTCGTATAAGAGTCAAAAAATTATATGAGAAATATTTAGGCATCAAAGCATTGCTCTCATTTTCTGTTAAACCAAGTGAGTCACGGAATAATATCAAAAATATTTG